TGGGGGTGGGGGTGGGGGTGGGGAGTGGAGACATCGCTAATGTGGCCCCTCACCGTGGGCCCTACTCTCTAGCAGGAGGACCAGAGGGGTCTGCACTAACACTGACATGAACACGGGTTAGGCTGGGCTGGAGGGCTGTGCTGTGGTGGCAAAGTCCTGAGTGGTCCCTGCTGGGGACTCAGCCCCACCCCCAACCTGCACTGCTACCGCCCCAGCCGCGGGGCATGCTGGGAGGCCTGCTTGGCTCGCTGGCGCCTCAGCCTCACAAAGACTTGGGCCTCACGATCACCCTTGCGACTCTCCAGTAGCTGCAGGATTGGATCCCCTGTAGAGAGAGGGGTTAGGGTCAGGCCTGGGGAGAGGCAGTGCCTGGTGTGAGGGATGGCGGGTGGGGGGACACAGCACTGCCCCATCCGGTCAACGAGGAAGGAAGCCAGTGACCACCCCACACCAGCAAGCTCACAAGACACAGGCCTGACCAGGCCTGACCATGCTGCCTGACTCTGACGGCCTGAAGCTGTGACTACTACCTTTTTATATGAGAACTCGAAGCCAGCCAGCTAATTAACCTCTTCGCGCTTTAGTTTATTTTCCTGTAAAAGCACTAATAATACCTGACTCGTTGGTTGTGAGAATTGAAAGAGTGAGCGTGTGTACAGTGCTTAGAGCTGGCCCGTGGTGGGTGCACAGGCACATGAACCACTGTCATCAAGCTGGGGGACACTCTGCAGGGCTGTGCCCCCTGCTCAGAGAGAGCCAGGCCCCTCTCCCCCAGTAAACTCCTTGGTGACCTTCCTCCGAGAGAGTCACATTACACTCGGCCTAGCTTAAATTTCCCTGGTCTCAACTAGACCACGAGATGTGCCATGGCTCATTCCACTGGCTTCCATCTCCAGGGAGGCACTTCTCTGACCCTGGCGTCACCTCTCTGGGGCCCCCGCGCTGCCCTGGGCTCAGGCCTACCGTTGGGTGCAGGGTACGTGAGGGGCAGACGGGTCTGCGGCACTTCGCCGGGCTCCTCGGGGCCGGTCAGCCCAGGCAGGTCACACAGCGGCAGGAAGGCCTCCCCTTCCAGGTCATCCGCTCCCAGCGTGTCGTGGTCCAGCACGGTGAGCAAGAGGCACGCCCCGGCCTTCCGGCACGGCTCGGCAGACACCAGGCTGGCGGGGAGAGAGCCGCGCTCAGCCGTCTGTCCCAAGCACCCCCAGCCCCCAGCCTCGACACGGGTCTAGCCCCTTGTTAATAGGCCGAGGCTGGGAGAAAAACGCCAGACTGTGAGGTTAGTTTTGCAAAGTCAGCGTGATACGATGGATGACGCTTTAAACCAACGGTCCTGTGTCTCGGGGCCTACCTGTCTTGAGGAACAGAGAACCTCAGGGACGAGACCCTTGCCTGGAAGCCTGAGTTCAACATGTGGGAGCCCACCCCTTGCCCCAGGGGAAGCAAATCTTGTCCCAGGTGCCCCCTCCCTCGGGCCCAAATGTGGTCATCTCAGGGGAGCCCGTTAGCCCCGGCCTGGAGGAGCAGACCTGGGGGAGCCAGGCTGGGAGAAGAGGGGGGACCCACTCACAATTCAAAGGTCTCATCAAACAGTGGGTGAAGGTCCTTCTTGTGTTTCTGGGTCTCCCGGGCGGCCAGCTCAGGGAACTCATGCCTGGGCTCCAAGGTCAGCTGGACAAAGGGGTCGCTGGAGCCTGGCAAGTGGCCCAGGGAATGGGGCGATGGCTGAGGGTCTCCCAGTCACCCCGCCCCCACCTCGGCAGCTGTTCCCCATTCAGCATCACCAGCCCCTCCTGGTAACCAGGAGAAATGCACGCAGAGCTCTTGCTAAGTGAGCAGAGCCCCCCAGGGACACGGGGACACGGAAAGTGGGCAGCCTCCACTCACCATTGGAGTCCAGGGGCAGCAGGCTGGAGGCGCTGAGCAGCTCCACGCGCAGCTTCTGCTCGGAGGCGCGGTAGGAGGCCTTGACTGTGACCGCCCCCAGCTCCTCCGTGGTGGTTTCTGCCTGGGGGAGGGGAACGACACAGGCAGGGTCAGCTGGGGCAGGGCGGGCCCAGTGCCCACAGTGGGTGCAGCGCGGGGAGAGGAGCCTCACCTGCTGCTGGATGCGGCTGCAGAAGTACTTGCAGATGAGCTCCCGGCTGGAGGCTGCCTGCAGCTCCAGGTCCCTCTGCAGAGCCTGGGAATGGGCACCCCCGAGAACCCACCTGAACTGTCGTACCCAACCACAGCCCAGTCCTGCCCCCGGGAGCTCACAGCCAAGGGCCGAGACGTCAGTTTGAAACGGAAAGCACTGGGGTGATGGGACCACGGGCAGGGGTGCACCCTCAGGAACGCCCAGGCGGACAGCAGGATAGAGGCACAGACAAGGCTGGCCTCACAAGCATGTGCCTGTGCTTAGAGGGACCGCACGCTTGGTTTCATGCCCTGCTGTTACCGTCTTAAAATTGGTAATAATTTCTGAATAAGGCGCCCACCTTTTCATTTTGCACTGGGCCCAATAAATTACGTAGCTGGCCCTGGGCACAGGTGAGCACAAAGACTGGCTCCCCCACCCTCCTACCTGGAAGCTTGCCAAAGCCCCCTACCTGGAAGGTGGCTGTGTGTAGGGCCTCGGGCAGCAGGCCACAGCCCTCAGCGTGGAAGCAAATCTCCAGGTTCTGCGGGGAGACATCAGAGGTGACCCCAGGCTCTCTCCTCACAGGGCTGTTATCGCCGGGGCTGGCATTATTACCTGTAAGGCAATCTTCAGCCTGCTCGAGGCCAGGGGCGAGCTGCGCTGGGAGGCGGCTGCCTCCGCCAGCTCCGTGACAGTGTGGGTCCAGAGCAGGGTCAGAAGACTGAGGTGAGGCCCAGAGGGATGCCAGACACAGGACAGGGCAAGAGGAAGAGGAAGTGAAGATGTTCTTGACAAAAGGGAGGCCTTGGGGACCCAGACCCATGCCACCCTCCACCTCCACCTGACCCTCAGGTGAGGCTAGGGAGGAGGGCTGGTCTCCTGAGGGAAGGAGGCTGAGCAGGAGCAGGCGGGGCCAGTCCTAGCCACCGTGTCTCTCAGCCTCTGGCGAGACCCTCCGTGGCAGGATTATGGAACCCAATAAGCAGGGCCGGGGCAGGCGCAGATGGGGAGGAGGCCAGGCCCCTGTGAGGAACCACGATTCAAGCCCGGAGCAGCCACAGCACAGACCGAGCACGCAGCGTGGACAAGCACTCACGCTGCCTTGCAGGGGGAGCGAACGCGACCCGCACAGCCCTGATAAGGACCTGGAGTAACGGACTGACACTCGTCAGAGTCGAGTCTGGCAGTTAAGTACAAAAAAAGTATTGTGTCGTTAAGAATTGGGGAAGCCTATCTTAAAAGCAGTCTATTAATTTATTTTTTCGACACAGTTAAGTGCCCATTATGCATCAGGGCCTGTTCTAAAGGCTTTTGAGACAGCACTGAGCAAAGCTCCCATCTCGGTGGAGATTTAATTCTAGTTTATGTGGGGGGCAAAAAAGCTGAAGAAATGGCATAACAGCATAATATGGCCTAAGAAATACAGACTGCGGTCTGCATGGCCCTGGCTGTACCGATGGGGCACAGCAGGACTCCAGGACGGCAGGAGCACGTGGAGGGGGTTGTTGTTGTCGTCATCGTCACTATGGCCAACAGTTGGTGACCACTTCCTTTGTACCGATACTGTTCTCAGCACCTCACGCGACCCATTTAATCTTCAGTAGAGGCCAGAACCGTCACCATCTGCACCGAGAACCTGAGTAACTGCTCGAGGCCGCCGAGCAGTGGTGAAGTTGGAGTCTGAGCCCAGGAGTCCAGAGCCCATGTGCCGGCCCCCACTCCCTGCTGCCAGGTGTCCTGGGTCCCTGTTTTAAGACACCCTAACTAGAAGTTCTCCCTGCATCGTGGGCAAGGAACACCAGTTGCCTGTAACAGCAGGAGGGCAGAGAAGCAGTCAAGGAGGCCCTGAAGACAGTGGGGACTAGGGAGGAAAGGGAAGGCGGGTTTTGACTCAGCCTAAGGAAGAACTCAACGCTCAGAGCTGGGCAGCGTGGAACAGGCAGGCTTGTGAGGTCGTGAGATTCCCGTCCCTGGGAGCAACTATTTGAGCAGAGGCCAGTTACACCCCCTAAGGGAGGTCACCAAAGGGATTCATCCTCCAACCCCCAGAGTGGACGTAGAGGGAAGGAGGGCCAGGTGGGAGAAGGGGTGGAGGTGCAGGGGCACCCAGGGCAGGGGCTGCTGCAGACCTGCTGAAGTTCTCCTGCACCAAGTTGGTGTTCATGTAGCAGAGCTTCACTTCCAGAAACTTCATCAAGGGCAGAATGGCCTGGGGAGGCGGGGTGGGAACACATCTGGCTCTGGCCCATTTCTGTGCCACCCCGGTTCCCTTGCCCTGACCCCCAGGGAGGAAACAGGGCCAGGAGATTTTGTGTGCTCCGTTTGTAACGTCTGCAGGACACAGCCCTGCCCACTTCTCGGCCTCCCTCTCCCCATTCCTGGGTCTGCTCCAGCCACAACGGCCTCCTCTACAGCCCTCGACGCCTCCAGCACGTTCCTGCCTCAAGGCCTTTGCCCATGCTGTTCCCTCTGCCTGGAATGCTCTTCGCCTGGAAAGCCGCATGGCTCCTTCCCGTGCTTCCTGTGGGACTTGACTCAGCTGTCACCCTCTGAGTAAGGCCTTCCCTGGCCACTTTCTAAAAATACTCTGACACTTCCTGCCCCTTCTCTGGTGTATTTTTCTCTTCGGCACTTATCATTATCGCACGCGCTGTGTGCGCGTGTGCATGCATGTGCATCTGCGTGTGTATTTACAGTTAGAGCCACAACTATCGCTTACTCATTGAGCTCTTCTTAAGCCCCACGGCTAGAATGTAAGCTCTAGGAAAGCGGGAATTTTTGTCATGTTGTCCACTGATCTATCCCCAATTAGTAAATCAATGCCTGGGACAAAATGGAGCTTAACGAATAGTTGATGAATTAATGAATAACCTTCTCCCAAATGATCAGAGGTTGCATCATGATATATGCCCTTACCGGTGAGGACCTGGGCGTGCTGGTGCGTATAAACAGGACAGCAAAGCTGTGGGCAGCTGGGAAGGATGTAGGCCCAGGTCTGTTGGCTGCAAAGCCTAAGCCTGCCCTCACCGCGGCCCCCGCATTGACTACAGTGCTGGGGGAGCCTGTGGAGTGATCCGCCCAGACCCTTAAGCATCCAAGGAGGAAACCAAGGCCCAGGGAGAGCTTATCTCTGATACCCCAAGGCCTTCAGCCCCCTGACCACCCTGAGCCCCCTTCCCAACACCAGACCCACAGAGCCAGCAGGGCAGTGGAGGTCAGTGAGCAGGAGGGTCACTCACGTCCTCAGGTGAGACAGACTCCCTGACGCCCACGAGTTTCTGGATGTACTTGGCGATGCCCACCTCCAGCTGGGGACACAAAATGGTAGAAGGAGGGAGGCCAGGGCATGAGTGGGGGCCTCAGGAGAGTTTGCGTGGGGCCTGAGTTTAGGCGTAGGAGGGGGTGGGGGCTGGACAGCAGCCCAGGTCCTGCTGGAGCCAGGCTTCAGGCTGAGGACAGGGTGGGATGGGGTTGCTATGGGGTTGGACAAGGTACCTGCTCGGCCAGCGTGCGGACGCCAGTGCGGATCTCATGGCCCAGCCCGGCCAGCGCGCCCTGCAGCTGGGCATGCAGTGTGTTTCGCAGCTGCCCCTGCTCCAACACGGCCCCTACACGCTGCTCCAGGGCCTCCCACGCCAGCTGGGTGGGCAGCTTGCCGATCACCAGCCGCAGCTGCTCCATGTCATTCACCACCACACACAGCTGGGGGCAGGCACGGGCACGGGGACACAGAGCTTCCTGAACTGCGCCAGGACTGGCACTCCCACCTGGCAAGACCCCCAGCCCCAGCTCTGGCCCTTACCATGTTGGCTGCCTGGCCCTGGTCCTTCTGGCCTGCAGAGAGCTCGCGGGCCCGGGCCTTTATAAGGCTGCAGTACACCAGGGCCAGCCGACAGGTGTCCTGGGGTTGGGTGGGGCAGAGGGAATTGATCCAGGGAAAGACGGATGGGGGCATGGGAATCTCAGCGACTTGGGGGATTTAGGAAACAGGATTTGGGAGGCTGCTGGTGTGATAACGTGGAGGGAATGCTGGGTGGTAGTGGGGCTGTCCTAGGAAGGAGGGAAGGACCCATGGAAGACGCTGCACCTCCACGAATTTGACAGTGATCATGAAAGCCTCCTCTGGGTCTGGCCAGTCCAGCTGCCGGGCGGTGTGGCTGATCTGGGCAAAGCAGGTGGACAGATCCACGGCCGACGTGCTATGCTTGGTCAGTTCACCCAGGGGCACCAGCTGGAGGAAGGGAGACTGCTTAGAAAGGAGGGCTCGGGACAGTGCCAAATCCAACCTCCCCCCTCCTTCCTTAAGCATTCACAGAGCAGCTGCCACTGCCAAGCACAGAGCTAGGCAGGGGGCTACCCGAGGGGACAGCAAGGCTCGGCCCAGACACCTCAGGCTGCAGGACCATCTGCAAAGTGAAGCCACAGTTAACCTCAAGGATGTCAGGAGGCAGCGTTTTGCACACAACTGGCCTCAGGAGCACCCGGAAGAGACATTCCAAGCAGGTCTCCCGCTTTTACCAAGCCCGCCCTCGCCCTCGAGGCCGGGGTGAGCTCAAGCCTGGGCCCCGCCCCCACCTGGTCCATCTGCACCGCACGCTGCACCCGTGCCAGGGCCACGCTATACGTCTTCTGCAGCCAGGAGGGGATGGCTGGCTGGAACCAGCGGTGGAAACCATCCAGGGCCAGGACTCCGTCCCTGGGGAGAGCCAGGGCTCAGCCTCGGGAAAGGCTGGGCCCACCCGCAGGCCCCAGACCCTTGTGGACCCTCCTTTCCCCTGTGCCCCACGGCCCACCCGCAACCGGCCTGCTGGCCACCTCTCCGAGGGCACCGCGTGCAGCTGGCAGAGCTCCTTGAGGCTGACGTAGAGCTGGAACAGACTCTCGCCCACCTCTGGGGACACGGGGCTGCCGACTGCCACTGTGTGGTCCTTCACTCGCTTGGCCACCTGCAAAGGAAAGGCGAGGGGGGCAAGGTACGCGGAGCCCGGCAGAGGGCATGGCCTGGAGACGGCGGAGGGACTCACCAGCCACTGCAGCTCCAGGAAAGCCGTGGAGAAGAGGTCAATCTTGAGGGCACTGGAGGAGAGGCAGCGGGCGTCACCCAGGGGCACACGCCAGGGCCCCTCAGTCCCGGTTCTGAGCCGTGGCCCCGCCACCCCTGCCCCTTCCGTCTGCTCACTTTTGGAAGATCTTGTTCCATGTGTGCTTGCACTGGTGCAGGTCGCCAACGATGTCCTGTATTAGGCTCAGCAAGGCCTTGCCCGCCTCCAGCATGCCCTGGTAGGGACAGAGGTGGGCTGAGCAGGGCTGCGAGGGGCAGGCACCCCCACCCCCGTCCCTGCCCAACCCCTCACCTGCACCATGGGCTGATGGTGCTGCTGCTTCAGGTGGAACCATTCAACAGTGCCAGTCTGCCGGCAAGGAGGCAGTGAGGACGGGGTTGCTAGGCCCAGGCACACGCCCTCCCCGTGCCCAGCCTGGGTACCATACCCGCAGGGCCTCGGTCACTAGCTGGGACAGTGGGGCACTGTCCGGGCACAGTTCTCCAAAGGCCTTCATCTTGCACATCTGTACCAGGACCCTGCGAGGCGGAAGGCTGTGTCCATAATGCCAGCCACCGCACACCCACCGCCCTCCAGCAGGCTCCCCCACCCTGCAAAGCCCCTGGCTGCTCCCTTGTCCCTGACACCACCGAGGAAAAGGAGGGAGCCACTGACCTGAGGAGAGACTGCAGCCGGACCGGGGAGTCGGAGACAGAAAGGGGGAAGACCGAGCGGAACCTCCGGATGAGGGAGAGGCCGTAGGCCAGCAGGGAGCTGAAGGAGGCGGCCAGCTCCTCCCGCTGCAGAGCCAGGAGCTACGTTAGGGGGCCCGACGGCCCTTCCCCTCCCTGGGCCCTGCCTGCCAGCACCCTTCGTCCCACCACAAGCCCACCTGCTCTGCCTTGAGCCGGCCCTGGATCCACTGGTACTCGATGCTGGTGATGGGGTGCAGGAGGCAGCCGCTGGGGAACTCCAGGCTCTGGTAGAGGCGGCTGTAGGCCAGCCACTGCCTGTGGGACACGGGGCCTCAGCCGCGGGGACAGCGCCCGCCCCAGAGCCTCCTGTGGAGCCCCGCCTAGCAGCACAGGCTGAAAGCTAGTGGCCCACAGGAGTTCGCTTGTTTCCACAGATACTTTTCAAATCGTCCGTCTCTTAAATTGGAATATTTATCATTTTAAAATGTCAGGATTTCTTGCTTTTTGTGAACAATCAGATCTAGGGACTTGAGCCTTTGTGCACATACAGCAAACATCAGCTGGAACTTCCCTCCACACATCTCTGGGTGACTTCACACATGAGGACCCAGTGGCAGGGCAGAGGATGTGGGAGAAGAGCAATCCAGGGACAGGCCCAGGTCCCTACTGGACACAGTGGCCACCTGCGTTACGGGCTTGGGCCCTGCAGGCAAGCCAGGCCCCTCACCGCCTGGTGCCAGCTCCAGTCTCCAGCCTCACACTATCCCACCCAGCTCCAGGAAGACTCGCCTGCCCAGGGGCCCAGAAGCTCACACGCTGCCCCCGGCCCAGGACTGCCTTCCGCAGCCTCCTCCCGCCTCCCACAAGGCAGCGTTCTCCTCTCATTCCTCCCCGGCCAGCACCTTGGCTGGGCCCCTCCGTCTGCTCTTCTCACACGCACTGAATGTCTGTGACTCCGTGTGTCCTTCCTGGCATGGCCAGAATCTGACAAGGCGCTGGTGCATGCCAGGCCGCCAACATAGATATGTTAATGTCAGCACATGGGTTTTCTGGCTCGATGGCTCTGGCACTGGAAGATAGGGCTGGGCCTGGGGCAGGGGTGGCAAACTCAAAGCCCAGAGGACTCCAGAGATGTAAGGGACTGAAGTGGGCCCAATGGCAACCATGATGGACAGAGGTGGACACACTGCTCTGCTCTGGCCAACCGCATACAGCCCAGCAAAATGACAGCCCTAGCTGGAGATCTGGATTGGAACGTGAAATCTCCAGGTCTTTCAAAGTCGGTAACTGATTCAAAACTTAACACACGCAGTTTGAGCTGAAGAGAACTCTCCCAAGGAGTAGACCTTGGGCTGCTGGCTTGTAGGAGGGCCGGTGGGGGAAGGGGCTGGCGTCTGTGTGGGGCCGTGCACTCACGCCATGGACTGGTGGAAGTCGGACAGGTCCTTCTGGGTGGCATGGAGAAAAAGGATGGTGGCAGCCTGGGGACTCAGTGATCCATCCCAGGAGGTGCTGCCCGCCTGAGGGGAACAGGTGGACGAGTGTCAGGACCTGGCTGGCAGCCCTGGCCATGCCCAGCCCTGGGAGGACAGTACCTGGTGCTGCGTGACCTCGTGGGACACAAGCTGCTGCAGAAGGTGGAGGTGCACCGTGTAGCTGGGCTGGGAGCGGCTGGCCGCTGTGGCTCTCTGCAATGGGGCCTCTGTGAGCAGACGGGACCCCACGCCCGGTGCAGCTGCCCTGCCCACCCCAGCTGGGCCACTGAGGGAGCAGCACACAGCCCCTGGCCCAGGCCCCACACCTACCCGCTTGTGAATGAGCTGGAACTGGAGGTGGCACTGGCCACGGTCCGGGTAGGTCTCGGTGCAGGGCTCCAGTGGGTACCACTGGTCCTCTCGGCAGCGCAGGTCCTGCAGGACCATGAGCATCAGCACCTCGCGCAGTCAGGGGGAGGGGAGGCGATGGGAGCAGACCCAGGTTCTGCTTGGTGTGGACCTGGACGCCCTCCCCAGACCCCTCCCCACCTTGGCCTCTCCTGGGCCCCTTTCCCCACCTCACCTGCAGCCTCAGAACCACGTTCCCCAGAAAGTCGTCCTGGCCTTTGTCCTTCCGGGCCTCCTTAAAGATCCTATTCCAGGCAGGGTGTGTGTGGGAGACAGCCAGCCAGGCTGGAATGTGTCCCCACCTGTGGCCACCTGCGGCCCAGCGTCCAGTGTGCATGTGGGGGGTGCAGGAGCCCCCATTCCTTCCCTGTGAGCCCCAAGGCACCCACCTGCGAAGCCCGTGCAAATCTGTGAGCTCCCCCAGCTTCTGTCGGACAGACTCCACCGTGTCCAGGTCCCTGGCGGGGCAGAGGTTTGAGTGGGAGGCAGAGAGGGTGTCTCCCTTCCAGTAGGGAGTGCTGCCTCCCTCACCCCCAGACTCCTTGTCTTCCTGTCCCTAGGGCTAGGCCATGTCACTTACCACATGTCCAGATGAAAGCTCGCATTGGTGATGTCCTCAAACTCCCTTGCAGGGAGAAAAGGGCAAGGTCGAAGGCCTTAGAGGGGTAGGAACCCCCCAACCAGACTGGGCCACAAGTGGCCCCAGCCCAGAGCCTGTCCCCCAAAACTGCCATCCCCAATATCAGCTGCTGTGGAATCTGGGCCAGTCCCTACCATATCCCTCCTCCCCGCTCAGCCACACCCCTTCCTCCTTTAAGGTATGGCTTCAGGTACCCCCAGATTCACCCAGAGCCTTCCTGCCCGCCCCCTGCACATGTGGCACCGATGTCACTGGTCTGTCTTGTCTGACCTATGCTATCTTCAGGATGGACTCCTCCAGTCTTTGCCCAGGGCCAAGCCCTGCCTTGAGCTAGGAAGACCTGCTGATCTCTCGACTTGGGGAGACCCTGCCACCCAGAGGATCCCCAGACAGGGTGGGGGCTGGGGCAGGGCCACATACAGGATAAAGGTCTCATCCCAGACGGGGTTGAGTGTCTGGCTGATGACTTGGGTGCGGTGGGTCTGCTCCTCGGGGATGGTGTGCCTCACCACAGCCTTCTGCCGACGCCGGGCCCCGGGGCTGTCCCCTGGCACGCCCACCCCCTGCTCAATGCCCAGTAGGCAGTAGGGGTCACTGAACCCTGGGGAGGAGTAGGGAAAATGAGGCAGCCAGGGAGCCTGCTGGGCTCCCTGGTACAGCCCTCATACCCTGCCCCTGGGGGCTGAGCCCAGGCCCCGTACAGGACTAGCAGCACTGGCGGTGAGGCCTGGGGGCCGTACAAGAGTGTGCCCTCCTGCCAGCAGAAAGCAGCTCCCTGGGCACCCCACCCCCACTCACCACTGACGTCCTTGCCCAGGATGCCCTTGGCCTGTTTCACCGTTGCCTTCAGACAAAATATTGGCTTCTGTAGGGACGGGAGGGGCGTCCTGAGTCCCAGAGAGGGCTGGGCTCCCCAGGCCCCCCCCCGCCGGCCCAGGGTTACCTGGAGATCCCTGACCCGCTGCAGCATCCGCTGGTGCTCCTCGGGCTCCGTGTGGAAGGCCTGTAGGGAGGCAGCCCGCAGGGTAGGGGTGTGGGGGGCTGGAGGCACAGGGTGGGGGCCAGGCCGGGAAGGGAGGCTCCTGAGTCCCGGCTGCAGGAAGGGGTGGCTGGGGCTGGGCTCACCTCCTGCAGGTACCGCAGCAGCTCGGAGGCCTCGATCACGTGGTTGGGCTCCGGCTGCCCCAGGCGGTGCAGAACAGTGTACACAGCTTCCTCGTAGAGCAGGGTCCGCTGGGACACACAGGGGTCACCTCAGGAGCCCCACCCCTGGCACCCATACTACACACACAGAGCAGGGCCAGGCACCACATGTGCAGTGGAGGGGGTTGGGACCCAGAAGTCCCCTCCCCACCCCAGGTTGCTGCCATCAGCCTTGGCCAGTAGCTGCAGGAGGGTGTTCACGACTCTTACCTCCTCCGGGGAGAGTTGGTGGGATGGAGGCTCGATCTGGGGAGCAAGGCGGAAAGACAACGTGGTGTCTCCAGAGGCCAGGCCCAGGCCCAGGGCAGCAGGGCCCAGCACCCGGCCTCCAGCCTGTTCCCACAGCAGGCCTCCTGGGGGACCAGCCCTCGGGCCGCCTTCCTCGTCCCCGGGCCTGCAGTGGCTGAGGTCCATGGGTGCCCAGCTGGTCCAGCAGCGCACCCTCTGCACCCGCGCCCCACCTCCCTTCCTTCCCCAGAGGAAACAGCACCGCTTATCAGCGGGCGGCTGCTCCCCACCCAGCGGCGGAAGTGAGGCCCAGCCGAGGTGAGGGGGTTGTGAGCAGGCCCGGGGCTGCTCTGCTGGTCCCCAAGCAGCCCATCCCACAGGAGGGACACCCCCTGCCTAATGGAGCCAGTGCCTCTGGAGCCGGAGGAGCAGGGGACAGGGCCGGCCCACCAGGGGGAAGGCTTCAGAGAGGCTCAGCCCCCGGACCTGAGGCCCACAGTGGCCCAGGGACACCTGGCAGACCGGCTCTGCTGGCCCAGAAGGCTCTGCCCGGGGGCTGGGGTGGGCAGGGGAAGGTCCCTAGTTCTCTGTCCCAGCCTTCCAGAGGTGGGGCCAGACAGCCGGGCACCACGGAGCCCCCAGGCTGCTCTCCTCCCCACTGATGTCACTCCTACCTCCTTCTGGGGTATAGGATCCTGTGGGTCTCTGACCCTGCGGCGCCTTATCTTGATGGCTTGGCGCAAGAGGGGAGGGCGCCGCTGGGGGCGGGAGAGGAGTGTCGCCATGGTGGCCTGCTCTGCCCTTCCCCTTGCTGGCCGTCCTCCGCTGCTCTGGCACACTGGGTGAGGAGAGGGAAGCCACAGGATTATGCAAAGAGCCCGGGGCTGCCACTCTCTGCCAGCGGAGGGCGGAGGGAGGGCAGTGGGGAGGATGGAAGGGTCAGGGTTTCACCGCCATGGGACGCGGGGGTGCGTCTCCCAGGCCCCCTGCACCTTCCTCCAGCCGAAATCCTTGCAGGACCCTCCCCAGGCTGGAGCTGAAGGTGGACCTGGTGGGCAGGACCTTCCCCAGGCTGGAGCTGAAGGTGGACCTGGTGGGCGGGCCCGGCCCTGCCCCACCCTCTTACAGGGGCCCTGGGAGGGTCCGGCACTCCCAGCAGGGGGCGGCAGGGCCAGGAGGGCAGCCCTGCTCGAGCCATGTGCTGCACCCAGGTGGGTTGGGTCCCAAGGGAAGCTGACCTGGGTCTGTGGGATTCTCACTTAACTTCCCTGAATTGTTAGTCGTGGGGTGGGGTGGGGTGGGGCAGGGCTCAGGGTGAGGGTTCCTGAGAGCCTTCGCAGCTGCAGCCAACCGCTCAGCCTGCCACACCCCACAGGTGACATTCCCCAGAGGGGACAGGGCCTAGCTGTGCCTGGCACCCCACCCCCACTGTGACGGTCAGGAGGCGCTCCCTTCAAATGCCCTTGTAGGCGGTTTGGCCAAACCCAAAGCTCCTGGGCGGGGCGGGCCAGAGGCAGCAGCAGGAGAGGACCTGCTACCTAGTCTCTCCCAGGAGGATGGACTTGGTTCACAGGGGACAGCACTGGGCTTTCCCAGAACTCTGTGACCTGCTGACCCCGTGCCCTGTGCCTGGCCTGGGAGGGTGGCATGAGGCCACACACTGCAGTGGCCAGCCTGGCAGAGTGGTCCCGGCCAGGCTTCCAAAGTGTGTCCCTGTCACTACTCTTTTTTTTTTTTTGAGACAGAGTCTCACTGTGTTGCCCAGGCTAGAGTGCTGTGGCATCATCCTAGCTCACAGCAACCTCAAACTCCTGGGCTCAAGCCATCCTCCTGCCTCAGCCTCCCGAGTAGCTGGGACTACAGGCATGCACCACCATGCCCGGCTAATTTTTTCTATATATTTTTTTTAGTTGTCCAATTAATTTCTTTCTATTTTTAGTAGAGACAGGGTCTCGCTCTTGCTCAGGCTGGTTTCAAACTCCTGAGCTCAAACAATCCGCCCGCCTCGGCCTCCCAGAGAGCTAGGATTACAGGCGTGAGCCACCGCGCCCGGGCCCGTCACTACTCTTGATACGCTCCAGAGACCTAAGGCCTCCTCCCTCAGGAGCCTGGGCCAGGGCTGCGACTCCCCCCACAGCCGGCAGGGGACGGGACAGGCCAGGAGGCACGACAGCCTGCACACAGGCCTCCCACACCCTACCCTCAAGCCCCAGGGACTCACTCCTCAGAGGGGCGGTGCAGCTGCTGAGCAACTGCCACGGGGATGGAGACCCCAAGTGGAGCTGTCCCGGACTGAACAGGCCATGAGAACGAGAAACTCTCCCCTGGGCAGGAACAGTCGCCCGGAGCCTCCCAGGGGCCCTCTGCAGCCAGACAGCTGTCCTTCCTGTCATCCTGGTCATCACGTGCAGAGCCAGAAAGGGTCATTACTTCATTTTTACTATTTCACATTTTCAGCAAACAAATCAAGGTGCAAACAGGGTTTATTTCACATTAATATATTAACTGCATTTTTTTTGTCAAATAAATAGGGATTCTCTTTAAATAACCATCTCCTCACTTCATGGCCAGTCCAGGAACACATGAGCAAATTTTAGCGCATCCAGGGGGCACGAAGCTTAAAGGGAGGACAGGCTGAGGGGCTGGCAGCAGGGTTGGGGCCCTTGTTCCCAGCCCACCCAGAGGCCCCCAAGTGGCAAGACAGGACAGACGTAGGTTCTCCAGTTCCAGTCAAGAAGCCCCTTTTAGAGGGAAGAGAGGAGAGGGAAAGCAAATTCCAGAAAAACTAGCAGGGACGCAGAGGGGCTTCCTCCCCGCCCAGCCGCAGTGGCCTCGTGCCCGACACCACCCAACCCCTGGAAGCTCATGTAAAAGCTTCGGAAGTCACACAGAGGTGGCCACTGCATGACCAAGGCCAGGGAGGGGAAGGGAAGGGAGGCGAGTGTGGCCAGGGCTGGAGGCTGGCGCATGGAATGTGGGCTGACGGTCCCTTCCTCGCTGGGCACAGGCCAGGGGAGGGAGTGGGAGCAGGCCTGCCGGGGCCGGGGACCTGAGTGCAGCAGCTGCCAGACCAAAGGAGCTGGACTGAGGTGGAGGAGGTGGCCAGAGAGTCCCTTGTGGGGGGAAACTACGAGAGCAAAACAGGAACAAGGGGACACCCTGTGCTCCCAAGGAGAGCCCCAGAGATGGCGAGGGAGGTGTGCTGAGCAGTGCCGCGGGCTCTGAGCTGGCATGGGAAGCGGGGGGCATCTCTCCAGAGGCCAGGGGCCCCTCTGTCCCACAGTGCTAGTTCTGGTGACTGTTTATAATCAGACCTAGAGGAAGAACAAGGCCCTCCCTCACCTCCCCAAGCCCCAGCCACAGCCCCAGGGGAGGGGAAGGAAGGCGAGCTGGGTAAGAGGCAGGGAGATGGGTGGGTCTACTGCGTCTTCTTATCTTCCGGGGGGTAGTAAGGAGGTGGCGGAGGCTGGTTCTAAAGAAGGAAGAAAGGAAAGATCACATTGGAAGGTCCAAAACCAGACACGGTCTCCCTGTCCCTAACTCCCAGCTTCCGTGGCTGAGGGGCTGGCCACCCCCACTCACCGTGGGCATGTAGACATTGTGTGGGTTGCCCGGGTTGTAATAGGCGCTAGCAGCTGCTTCTGCGGCCTTAGCTTCGGCTGCGAGAGCAAACACACCTGGCATTGGCGACAAGCCCTTCCCCTCCTGTGGCTTCCCCAGGAACGGAGCTCAGCTGGCGACCCCCGGCCCCCAAGGCCCAGGGCAGCTGGTGCTGGGGGCCCAGGTCCATCAGCAAAAACAGCAGTTAAAATTTCCTGAGCGCTTGCCATGTACTGGCACTGTCCCTTCCAGCCCTGTCACGTTGTCTTACCCCAGCTAATCCCCAACCCAACCCCACCAGGTGGCACCGTAACTATCTGTTTATAAATGAGAAGACTCAGGCACACTGGGTGACCTTCCTGGCCCCACAGTCCATGGCTAAGGGACTGGGGGACTGGAATCTGGCTCTGCACCACCAGGCCCCCACCCTGCTGGTCCCTGGCGTAGTCCCTAGGCCAGAGCTCATCCATCATTTGGGGCTCCTCGCCAGCCTCCGGCTGTTCTCTGAGGCTCTCTGCCTGATCTCAGGGAGGCAGCCCAGGGGCCTCACCTGCAGGAGTGGAGGGGACATCAGGGCCGCTGACTGGAGGTTCCATGGGCCCAGGATAGGGCGGTGGCGGGGGCTGCACATATCCCATGGCCCCATCCATCATGGGAGGTCCTGGATAGAACTCTGCTCAGCAAGAGAGTGACAGCGCCTTGGTGACTGCCCCAGCCACGCTGCCATAGAAGGCTGCCTCCCTGGGAGCCGCACAGCCCAGCCCTCAGCTGGCACCCCCCGAGCCTCTCCAGCTCCTCGTTAGTCCTGAAGCAGCTCGAGGCACGAGTCTATCCTCTACAGACCCCTGGCCTGGGAGGGGGTGGTTAGTGGGTGGGGTGAGGGTGGGCAGCAAAGGACACACTCACCAGGTGGGGGCGGTGGATAGGGGTAGCCAGGAGGGCAGGGGTACATTCCATTGGCGACTGGCGGGGGAAAGACATAGGCCCCGCTGGGCATGTAAGAGTACCCATAGGCTCCATTGGGGGCTTCACCTCTGGAGGCTATAAGTACAAGGGGAGAGAAAAATGAGTGTCGTCTGCCTTGGGGGTTGGGAGAGGGTGGCCCTGCTGCCTGCAGAAGGGAGCTGCTGGGCCCCAGGCCTGTGCCCAGCAGATATGTCCTACCCAACCCCATCCCACTCCCCACCCACCTCTGGGTCTGCCTGGGTCAGGGATGAGGCGAGGGGAGAGGATGGGAGAGAGGTCAAAGCAGGGGCAAGGACAGGGAGCAGAGGTGGGCGGGAGGGGGACTCGGGGAGGGGTGCAGAAGGGGCAGGGGAGGGTGCCTGCTGAACACGTTGCTTGGGGATTTAGACTGGTTGCTAAATGGTAGCTTAATGGCCAGGTTTTTTGTTTTTATGAGGCCATAGTAAAATGTCCTTGAGTCCAAACAGCTCTGTCGAATGTCATATCCCAGCCCCAGGCAGGGGAAATACAGCCTTGGATGTACGGGGCAGGCTTCCTTCCTGACTCCCAGGCTGGTCAACCCGGTGCCCAGACACTTAGCTCCTGAGTGCTTAAAAAGCAAAACAAAAAGTAAAACCCCCACACAAACGTGTCCTTGGCCCCTGATATGTAGATCCTGGATACCTTGAGATGCCACCTGAAGCATCCGTTGTCCAAACTCAATGGCGCCCCCTGCCGTGAAGGTCAACTTGTAGGAAGCCGCACCTTCCCAGCCACCTGAAAAGGGGACAGACCATGAATAAGCAGCAGGGAAGGAGAAGAGGGGATGTCCAAAGAGAAGGCCATCTGTCCTCTCCAGGCCCCCACCAACGCCCTGGAGGCCGAGGGGAAAGGGCCTGCAACGTGATCGGGGCTTCTGCCTCCATGCCATGGCTGTTCTGGCCAGACGCCCACATCCGAGCCCGCGCTGCAGGCTGGCCTGGCTCCTCCATACCCACTCCTCGCTTTGGAACAGGGGCTTTTCCTTCCTGGAACAAGCCTGTCTTCCCATCCCTGGCCAGTAAGTATACAGGCACTAAGGCCACCTTGGTTTGGTTTTATAACATCAAGGGGGCTTCTCTTCGTGCCCAATAAAGCACCCAACAGCTTCACTGGAGCAAGTATACGCAGCAAAAACTCATGTTCAAATTCAGAGCAGACCTGTCTTCCTGAGGGGGCCCAAGGACGGACCCAGGCCCCTCTCGCCTGGCTGTTCCCCAAAGGAGGACCAAGAGCTACTCAACAGCAAGGCTCAGGCCTGGCTGGGTGTGAAGGGGAAGGCAGGTTCAGTGCAGGGGTCTCTGGTATCTACAAAAGAGCCGGCCACAAAGCTGGGCCCCTCAGGCTTCCCGGGACAGCTGCCTTTTCCTGGCTTTTGTGAAAAGGCCCCTCCTGAGAACCTGACACAGCTCCTTCCCAAGTCTAAAATTTGTACCTACTCCCCATGTCACAATGAGCACCTTTATTTACTTACAGTCTTTCTGCTGACTTTACTCTCTGAAAAGGTGATCTGAGCTGCCATCTTTAAGGCCAGGATTTTTTTCCCAGCTCTTAGCAACCAAACCCCACCTCTGCTGCCCAGCTGGCAACCCAGTGGTTCCTCTTGATGTTAATCCAGAGCCAGGAAGAGGGCAAGGCTAGGGTGGTAAGGGTCCAAAGAGGACATCCCCAGGGCGGCAGTCACAGGCACCCAGGGCACCTCCCTGGAGGCCCCCTCCATGTCCCTGAGCTCTCTGTCACTTACCTCCTGCTTCGGCCTTCACCATTCCCTTGATGTAGTTTGCACCAAACACAGGCTGCTTGATCTCACAGTCTTTCATCAGATAAAACGGCATCATGAAGGACTGCATGGCGTCCTTCCCCTTGGACAGAAAGATGACCTGCAGGGAGAGAGGTTGAGGGCCATTGGCACCTGAAGCACAGCCCCCTCTGCCAGCGCCTCCTGCTGCCGCCTGTGTGTGATAAGTCTGCTCCCCGGCTCTGGCAGCCTCAAGGCTCTCTGCCGACAGCGTCTGTGAGGACAGACTGCACTGTCATTTCAGTGGCGGTGTGGAGGTGGCGCGTAAGCGAAGGCGCCTGCAAAGCTGGGGAGGAGCAGGCGGAGCCAAGGCAGGGAAGGATTCCTGAAAGGAGTTCTCTCCAGCCTGAGCTCTGCAGGACTGAGAATGATGGCGTGGCTGGGCGTTAGGCCCCGGAAAAAGGGGACTGTTGTAACCTTCTCACAGACGTCACCCTGCCCAAACAGCAACAAGAGCATCTGTGCTTAGAGAACCCCTTGGGTTTTAAACCCGTGACTTCCGTCTGTGACTGAAGACACCAACTTGAGCCTCCAGAGGTGGGATTTTGAGACTCCCCTGTCTGCTGAGTTGTAGAGATTAAAACCTGAAGATGTGTTCCTCTCCTTTCAGCTGCCTTTAAGACTAAGTCTTGAGTAGCTACAGGCAGTGAGCCTTTTCAAAGAACATCTACTTGTGTTTCTCAATCTCTGAGTCTCAGTGAGTAACACTTGGGCAAGGCCCATTCTGCAGTCTGGCATTTCTCAATGCAGGGCGATGCTGGGCTCTCTGCCCAGTACAGAGGCTACAGCCACCCAACCGTGTCCTGTTTACCGCCTTTACCACTCTGGATGTGCACAAGGCTTCCTGGGCTACCCTTACAGAAGTCAAAATGGTAACAGTCTCTTGCCTCCAGACCCAAGTCATCCCAGCAGCTGCATCCAAGTTCATAGAGATGTTGCAGCAGCAGCTCTGGAATTGGCATGGATTCACTGCCCAGTGGTCAGTTTAGCTGCACAAAGAGCCTGGTGGTTGTAGAATCCAGGAGCATGTGACAGGGAAACAGGCAGAGTGAGGCACCAACATTCACCAGAGTTCCAAAGCCACTTGATTCACAAGGCTGAGGCAAAGCTAAGACTAAGACTCACATCACCTCCAAGAGTAACGAGCCTCCAAACCAACTGTCCTGCTGTGCAACTCACCCGGTAAGGGGTAAGGTAGACAGTGCCTTTCTTGGTCCCTTTGAAGGCCTCTGGCACGGTCTTCATATCATTGAACGTAAGTTCCACATGATCATAGGACATTAAGATGCTGTGATAAGAAAAGAGGAAAGGCCTTGATGAGTCAGTATGGAGATGTGATGTAACCCCCAGACACCAGGCCCTCCTCCCAAGCAGCTGCCGGGCACGTCGTCTCCCTTAACTGTCTCAACAGTGCTGTGCTGAAACCATTAATACAGCCATGGAACAGATGAGCAAATTAGGGTTCTACAGAATTTCTCAAAGCCCACCTACACAGTCCCCAAGTGACCAAGACAGTAGAAGAGCTGCAGGGCTCAGCCACTATCCCTCAAGGCAGGTTAGATTATCTGGGTTTACTCTTCTATTTTCTTTTAAGTTCTTGTGATAGGTGATCTGTTTTTTTGGGGTTTCTTTCGCAAGCCTAATATATAAACATGTCTAAGCCATGACTCTGCACATTACAAAAGGGCTTCCTTCGAGGTTCTTTTTTTTTTTTTTTTTTGAGACAGGGTCTCACTGTGTTGCCCCGGCTAGAGTGCTGTGGCATCATTCTAGCTCATAGCAACCTCAAACTCCTGGGCTCAAGCGATCCTCCTGCCTCAGCCTCCCGAGTAGTTGGGACTACAGGCATGCACCACCATGCCTGGCTAATTTTTTTTTCTATATATTTTTAGTTGTCCAATTAATGTCTTTCTATTTTTAGTAGAGACGGGGTCTCGCTCTTGCTCAGGCTGGTTTCGAACTCCTGAGCTCAAACAATCCGCCCGCCTCGGCCTCCCAGAGAGCTAGGATTACAGGCGTGAGCCACCGTGCCCGGCCTCCTTCGAGGTTCTTTTAAACTTGGGGTTCTTAAGCTGGGTCTTCAGGGATGTCTGTCCATGAAGCCCTTGAGATGATCATGTATGTGCATTTTTTCTGAGAACAGAAGTCCATAGCTTTCATCGTCAAAGGGGTTCGTGACTAGAAGAATAAAATTTCACTATTTTAAATATCAAATTTTGAATCCTGGACTTAAACTTCAATTAGCATACATACACTTATTCAGATATGAGACTGAAGCACTTTCCCAAACAAGGCACACCCTTATTTAGCAGCACTGAGTGCTAAGCCATGTAGAAGGCCCAGTGGGATAGATACATTCTTGTCCCAGAAAAGTCCCACTGAGACAGAGAAAGAAAAACAGTCCCCAGAGATGTTACCAAATGGCATCAAAAGCTGCCCAAGCTGGGAAATGACTCGCACACAGAGATGCAACAAACCAGTGAGCAATGTGAGGTTTCTCTGATTACATGATAAAAAGGTTCAAGTTCACATGGTTCCTTTGTCTGCTCCCTCCTCCCAAATATCACCACTTTCTTGACTGGGAAAGGGTTAAGTGGGAAAGAGAACTGGTACAAAAAAAGAAGGACAGCTCAGAGAAAAGAACTAATTACCAGGAACAGGTTGGGCCCATCAGACTCTGGGCAGGTAAGATGGAGGGAAAGTCAACATTCTGAGGTCTGGGTCACCCTAGGTGTTCTCCTCTGACTCATCACGTCTTCCCAAGTGACACGCTGGCTGGGGGCTGGCCTTAGCTAGGTACAAGGCTCTAACTCCACCATGTCTGCCTTGGAGACTCAGGTTCCTCCTAAGCTCCATCTGACTTTAAGAGGCGATTTAGGGTCAGCATAGTTCAACTCAGTGCTGGCTGGTTTGGTTCTCAATACCCCAGGAGCAAAAGGAGAGAGAAGCCATCCAAGGAGCCAAGACATTGGAAGAGAGACCAACTGCATTAGGCAAGGGGTGGGGAAGGTGGAGTAGAAAGAACCTTGACATTAGAAGACCTCTGCCCTGGGGAGTGACCCAAGCCAGCAGGCTTTCAAGAGAAAGATACAAAGGACTAACCTTCACAAGAACCCACAGTGCTAGGACAAAAGTCATCTATCTAATTTCACCTGTGAGGCCTCACTCTCTCGCCTGGAACCTGAGCAATTCTGGAATATACTGGAAGGCTATATACTGGTAGTTAATCCTATTAACTTTGCAGTCAAGACTCCTTTACTGGAATTTACCATCTCTGTTAACAGAGCTGTGATCTCGGCAAGTTACTTAACCTCGCTGGGCCTCACTTTCCCCATCTGTGAAATGTGTATGAAATAGTTTCTGCCGCACAGAATTATGTATTAAAGAAGGTAGAAGAGACGCAGTGCCTGACACGTAGTAACGTAGTAAACGTCCAATAAATGACAATTATTTTTGTTTGAGGCTCCTCCCAGCTCTTAAAGTCACAACTCCGGGAAGGGGCTCAAGAACCACCCCTAGGCCCCACCT